AGCTTCCCAGAGGCTCATCCCTGATGGTTAAATCTGTATTGTTGGCTAGGCATGGTGGCACACACCTGTAATCCCAGTTTCTTAGGAGGCTGAGGCAAGAGGGTTTCAAATTCGAGGCCAATCTCTGCAACTTGGCAAGACCCTGTTTTATTTTCAAAACAGCAAGTAAAAAGGGGGATGTAGCTCAGTGGTAAAGCACCCTGGTTTTCCCAGTATGGGGACCAGTGGGTGGATTTTGTACTATTATGATCTGTGCAGACTTTTGAACTGGTTGAATACAGATCTCTGCTCTCCTGCTATCCCTAATACACATGTGGGCTGAGATATCTTTGAGGATTATAGAGTCAGTTTACAGTATATTTTAGGCAACACAAGCAGCATTAAGATGGGAGAGTAAAATTTCTTAGCAAGGTGCTTAATAAAATTATTACACAAGACTAATATTAATAGCAGTAGCCGTGTTTTCTCCTGTTGATAATAAGTTGAGAACATCTTTCATACTTCTTGAAGTAATCCAAGGAATTTCCACTCTGGTGAGGTCCTGGGATTTTTGTAGCAAAGGGTTTTGCAAACTCCTTGAATTAAAAGTTGGAAATACTTTGTGAGTCCCTTGATTTTCATGTGTTTGTGTGTGTGTGTGTGTGTGTGTGTGTGTGTGTATACATATATATACATATATGGGGAGTTGTTTAGGGAGGGGTATCAGGGATTGAACTCAGGAGCACTCGACCCCTGAGCTACATCCCCAACCCTATTTTGTATTTTTATTTAGAGACAGGGTCTCACTGAGTTGCTTAGTACCTCACTTTTTTGCTGAGGCTGGCTTCAAACTCACAATCCTCCTGCCTCAGCCTCCTAAGCTGCTGGGGCCACTGCACTTGGCCCTCAATTATATTTCTGACACACTGAGAAACCTAATCACCTAATTTTGGGGCCTCAGTATTCCCATTCATAAAGCCAGGACAACTCTCCACCGCATAGGAGAAAATGGCATTGTGAAGTGATAAGTACTTTGAGGAAGCATATATGTAAGAATGGCATTTTCTTACCCTCCGTCAAATTAAAAGATTATCTATCACATGAAATGCTAGTCATTTAAATGTGGTACATAGGAAAGAAATTAATAATTGTACAGAAGATTTAATAGGAACTGGGTTAAATCCAGAAATTGCTCAGCACAGCTAGGATGTATTAATGTTTTGCACATGCACAGCACTTTGTTACACTCATTTCAGGAAATACTACAGAAAAAAGATAAATGTGATTTCTCTCTTTGGGCAACTTATAAAGTCACTGAGTAGACAGAGATGTGAAATTGAGAAAAAGTTAAGACTGTGTGTGATCAAATGCCAAAGTGAATGATGTAGAAAAGTTCAGGCTCTTGGAGGTCAAAAGAAGAGTGAGGGAAGGCTTCATGGGCAAGGATGGGCCTGAAACCAAGGCCTTGGAGGAATGTCACACTGAGAAAGTATCAGGGAAGATATTCTGGCCACAACCTGAGGAACGAGAAGGAGGTGGTGGTCCTGATGACCTGGAGAAAGTGGGTCTTCTTAAGAGGTAAATATTGTGGGTAGCATAGGCCCAGACTATGAAGAGCTTTACGTGTGGAAAAAGAGCACCTTTAACTTAACAGTGTGGGTGATGTGTTGCTAGCATAGGTTTTTGGGTCAGTGAGGGAAATGTGGTATTTTAGGAGATTGAGGGTTTAAGTAAGGGTCATAAACTTGGGCAGTGTTGTCCAGTCTCACTGTTGACGAACTTTGAGTATGAGGTTTTAGGGCACAAGGTCGGTAGAGGCAAGGGTGATGTAGAAAGAAAACAGATGTTCAAATCCCTAGTGTGTTAGGCACTTTGCTACATCTTTCACAGCATTTTTTCCCACAGAAAACTTTTGTGAATTAAACCAGAAACTTGGGCTGGGGATGTGGCTCAAGCGGTAGCGCGCTCGCCTGGCGTGCGTGCGGCCCGGGTTCGATCCTCAGCACCACATACAAACAAAGATGTTGTGTCCACCGAAAACTAAGAAATAAATATTAAAATTCTCTCTCTCAAAAAAAATAAATAAATAAACCAGAAACTCTGAACTAAGTACTGTTTCATCTTGCAGATGTAGAAACTGTAAGTTGCTAAGGTTCCACAACTAGCAAGAGAGCAAAGTGGCATTCTAGCCTGCTCCTATCTGATTAGAGTCCTTGCCTTCATCATTGTCCCTTGTGGAATTATCAGAAGCTCTGCTCTTCTGATCTCCACACTGCGTAGGCTTTTCTTTTTCCTGGATTAAGTTAGGTCAAAGTCAGCATATGTGAAACAGGGTGTGTACTCCAATGTAACCAAGAATCTTGAAATCAGAATGTCCCAAGCATTTAACATTCCCAGGAAATGGATCCACAAATCCTGAAAAGCTTCAGATTAGCCAAGCTAATTGTGTTGTTTCAATAAGCTATGATAGCCAAGAAAAGTCTTATAAAAGATCTGGAAAACAAAGCATTTTGTTTATCTTTCTTGAGAACTCTTTACAGGAAAGTAGTTTGGGTTAAGTGAGATATTGACAAGGTAGAGCTGAATAAGTGATCATCTGTAACTTCTCATGGCTGCTACCTCCTTGCTCTGGTGGAGGCCGGCCATCCACCCTCGTTTCTCTCCACTCATTCCTGTTCTCCAGTGACCTTTTATCCTGAAGCCTGTTAGCAGTTTCTGAGTTGCCTGGTCACGTTTCTGTGGGTGGTGTGGAGACCGGCAGCAGTCTACAGGGTGGTGGGTGGAGCATGGTGATAGGGCAGCACTTGTGGAAGTCTCAGGTGATGGAGAAAGAAGAGATGTTACTATGAGAGAATTTGACAAACCTGTGGGCAGGTAACATTTGAAAATTGATTCTCTAACTTGGAAGAGAAAAGCAAGTCAATGTATATGAGCATCAATACGGTTTGCCAAGTTCATCAATTAAACAAGTGTTTTGAGTGGAAATGACTTATTTCTTTTTTTCAGTGATGGGGGTTGCACCCAGGGTCTCATGCATGCTAAGCACACACTCCGCCACTGAGCTATACCCCAAACCCAGAATGACATTTTAATGTCAATCTTTCCCTCATATGTTCATTTAAAACTCAATCATCAGAGGATCTGATTAATCTGAAACAATAATGGTTTGGAGGAGAATTTTTTTAAAGGGCAAACATATAGTGTGGGCTTTTTTTGTTTATTTACTTTTCTTGTGATATTTAGTCAAAGCCCTTTGGGAAGAGTTTTGACATTAAAAAGAGGAATTTTACTAAGTAACTTTCTTTAATGAAGCTAATATTTCTCTCCCTTTATCTTACTGTGTACAGGAAGGAAAGTGAGACTCATGTGGTTCACATTCAGCATCAGGGTGCTATCCAACCTCCCCTCCTGTTTTCTTCAGTCCCCAGACCCAGACTCCAAAACTAAAGAATATCCCACCATTTCTCTTTCCCCAATTTGAGAAGAAATACAAACTTAATCTGCTTCCCCTATAATAAAAGAGTTCAGGACTTGGTAGCCACATCTCCTGCATCACAGGATGACTGCATCTTAGGTTTCTGTTTGCAGCAGTACCACAACTTGCTTAAGTCTTAGAAACCAACCAAGGTTGTGTGTCTGTATGGGTTCTCTGTTGTAATCAGCAGAAACCAACAACTCTTATTTACTTAAGCAGAATGGAATTTATTGGAAGAATATTAGGAACTCATAGAATTGATGTAAGGGGCAGAGCAAAGAACTAGGCCTGGAATAGATGGAAAACAAAGCAACTCTGACGAGGCAAAGAACCATGAACTACGTGAAGGTATTTGTACTGATTGGTGTCTGGGCAAGAATGTGGTGGTGCCCCACTCCAGGGTAGGAGCATCTCATTGACGTAGCTTGGGTCCTGTGACTGACCACAGCTTGATAAAGGGGAGGGTGAGGCCTGGATTACAGACTTACCAGGGCTTATCCAAATAAGGTCATTCTTCAGAGGGGAATCAGAATGAATTTACGGGGGAGAAGTTACGCTCCACAGCCAAAAGTAACCAGTGGTCAGCGCAGGGTGATAGAATGGATTAAATGACAGAAGAAAGACAGCACTGGTTTTCCTTTGGGAAACGAAGGGTTAGAAAAATGTGCTCACACGCCTTGGCTGTGAGGTTTGTCTGTCAGCATGTCTGTTGCTGTTCGTAGCCTCACCCCTTCCTCCTCTCTTTCTTAGTTGGAGCCTAGCGGTGCCATCCTGTTGGGATGTGGATTTGCACACGCACAGCGTGCTACATGTGCATGCCAGGAGGTGCTGGTGGCAAAGCAGTTCCTCTTTGATCAGTTTAGGGAGATTAGATGTAGTTAAGGCCCTTTTCCTTGCCTGCTTCGTGTCACCCCATGGCAGTTGTTCTAGAAAATTTCACATTTTAAGCATGTTTATCAGTAGCCCAACTTTGGCCTTTTATACTCACCTGGATAAATAATTCAGGCTTCAGTCTGATTTTAGTTGTTTGTTAGATGATTGATACATATAGCATACATAGTTACTAAATAAATTTTACTTAATGAATAAAGCTGTAACTTTAAGAGAATATTAAGGTACCCTAACTAACCTTGTTATTGGAAAATGGCAATGGAATTCTATACTTCAGTCTGATTTTCACTACTTAAAAGGAGAATGCAGTCTCAAAAAGAAATGAATTTTTAATATATTGGATTGTGGGAGGGCACATACCTTGTGCTTCTCTATGAAAATTTAACAGTTACAATATACCTCCTGGTTGATAGAAAAAAAAACATGATTAAATAAAAAGCATGACTAACTTTTTATCTAATTAATTTTAAATGATTTAGTGTCACTCCTGTTTGAGTCCCTATCAAACCCTAAATTTCTGTAGCTCCCGTAATTAGTTGTTGCTAAACAACTTCAAAATTGGAAGTTAGTCTAATGCTAAAGAAAAACACTCTGGGCATTTTGAGTGTCGCTTGGAAGAGATATAAAAAGCTGACCTACTGTGTTTCTCTTTCAGCATCCAGTGCTCGATGAGCCAATAGCTGAAGCTGTCTGTATCATCGCAGACACAGACAAGTGGAGTGTCCAGGTGGCCACAAGTCAGAGGAAAGTGATGGATAACATGAAGCTGGGCCAGGATGTCTTGGTCTCTAGTCAGGTGTCCAGTTTACTTCAGTCTATCTTACAGCTTTACAAGCTTCACCTCCCTGCTGATTTTGTAAGTATGTGATCTCATATCATCAGAGAAAGTTAGCTAAAAATACTTTCAGCCACATTTTGATTATGAAAGCAGAAATCTGGATATTGTTTTTAATAAAATCGGAGGTTAGCATGAATTAAAATGGGACATGCAACATAAAACCAGCAAACAGGATGGATTTCAGTAATTCTAGCCCTTCCATGAAACAACAGAGAGTGGCACTGGCATCTTTTTAATAAGGTGTATGGCAAAGTAAAGAAGGTATTAGGGAGGGATCCAGCATAAAAGGAATCTGAAATCCTCCTTGGAGAACTCATTGCTAAGCAGCCATCCTCACAGAAGTATTAAGGGTAAAATAGACCAGGGTTTGTGGAAACACTTAAATTTTGAAGTACTGTATACATGTAAGATGGTATCAGTTGTTCCTTTTCAAATGGGACTTGAAGATCACTTTCATAACATTATTTTAAATACGAACAACAAAGCCTAAGAATTCCTCACGAATTGTCAGCAGTTCACCCCTAGTGACTGGAATTAGTATTTACCTTTCAGTGCATGTGTGCACGTGATATATGTAGAAATTAGAAGAGGAAATATATTTAGTAAGGGAGGGAGAAATGTTTCAGAAGGAGGAGAGAAGCTGAAGGGCATCTAAGAAAAGTCTGGGTGAGCTGTCCTCTGGAAGACACTTCACTGGAGCAGCATGCTTACTCTGCTCTTTCCTTCCTTCTGTGCAGGCTGCTCTCTGCAGCATAGTTCGGAACCAAAACCTCTGGCTCCTTTCTGGCCTTGGGAAATGACTCAGAGCTATGTAACAACAATGTAAGAAGATGAATATTCATTAAATATACTATTTGCCAATGAATTGATCACTTTCCTGGATTCTTAAAGTCAAATCTGTGGCACCATAGTCCTCAGAAATGGTCAGGATTTTTAATGGCTTTGAAGAGGTGTTCTGAAATAATGATTGTCATCAAAACTGGCAGCATGGCATAGCAAAAAGACATAAATGGATTAAGGTCCCAGCTTTGCTATTGATTACTGTGTGCCAGTCACAATCCTGAATGTCTCTGAATCTCAGCTTTCTCATTTGTGAAATGGAGAGACTACAACTGTGCTGGGAGAATCTTCTGAAAATTAGGGATAGGATAATGCTTTCAAAACACCAGGTTAAAAGCCAGCATGTAGGGGCTGGGGTTGTGGCCTAGTGGCAGAGCACTTGCCTAGCATATGTGAGGCACTGGGTTCAATATCCTCAGCACCACATATAAATAAATAAAAAATAAAAGTACATTCAACAACGGAAAAATAAAATTTTTAAAAAGCCAGCATGCATACATTAGTGGCCAGTGGCCAGTGCCCAGGCTAGAGTCAAATTCAAGTTCTACTACTTACTTTGTGATCTCTCAAAGCCTCAGTTTCCTTATCTGAAAATCTAGAGAAATAATAGAACCTATCTCATGTTTATGTAAATCAGGCAATTCATGTAAAGCATTTGGAATAGAGTTAAATGTTATAAACCCTCACTGAATCGATATTATTGGCTTATCAATTAATAATTAGTTTTCTGGAACAGTATTAATTAACTTCATGGAACAGTAAAAACTGAAATACATTTTTACTAAAATCTTTATTTGGGATTTAAATTAAAGCATACTCTTGCAGGATGTCTGTCTTAGGGTAATATGAGAAGTATTTATGGGTTATTATGACCTTACTTTCTGTTCTACATTTGTAGGCAGGTTTTCTTCTACAAGCAGGTTGGGTTGTGCTGACTTAGAGGATGATGTCTCCATTTTTATGGGCAAAGAGGACATATTAGAATTCAGGTTTTTACTCTTATAAGTATTTGCCAAACATCTGTAATACATAGTTCTTGTTACATACAACATTTTGCTTATTAAAGCAACACATTATTATAGCTGATTTTTTTTACTTCATTTGGATAGAATATTTAAACTTGTAATAATAAGAATGATTTATTTAACCTGATAAACCAATGTCAAAGAAAATTTCATCTGTAGTTTAAAATTCTCTATATATTGTTTTAATGAAACATAAATGATTAGGCCCTTTAGTACCGACGGATAAAATAGCTATTTAAAATTTTAGAAGTTTGAAATTCAAGAAATACATCTCCAAAGTAAAATCCCATAAAAGAGGAGGAATTTTTTAAAACCATCATAAGTTAAGTCTTTTTGAAAAACTTTCTAAATGTTTTGATTTCATTTGATTTCATAAAGAGTTCTCTTTATTTCCATGTTGCATCATATACTTTTCATGCAGTCTGTGAAAACATGGTAAATTAGCTGTTTTAAAACAAAGGATGTTTATCAGACCCAGTGCACCTGCCTAGAATCCCAGCTACATGGGGAGATTGAAGTAGGAGGATCACAAGTTGTAAGCCAGCCTTAGCAACTTAGACCCTGTCTCAAAAAATAAAAGGGGCTGAGGATGTGGCTCAGTGGTAGAGAATCCCTGGGTTCAATCTCCAGCACACACACCACATAGCACACACACATACACAAAAACCCAAAGATTTAATATAATATGAATGGTCTTTTTTATATTTTGGAACAGTCTTACAGAAACCTTTGTATTTCCACTCCACAAGTTAACTGGAGGCCACTTCACTCTGTTCACTGGGGGAAACATTTCCATGAGAACTGATGGAATCTCCCTGCTTTGATATCACTTAGCCACTTAGCAGTGTGTTTCATCTACCATACACAGTGCATCTAAGGTTGTGAGCCAATGAGAGGCTGACAAGATCGAATCTCTAACAGATACTTTTTCCATGCCACTGATCAGCCCAGATGGTCAAGATCAACATTTTCAAATGCATCTGTTAATCTTTTTACCTTGAAAATAACAGGCCTAATGGTCTAGAAGAAAAGTATGTATGATGGAATTGCCCTTGCCAGAGCCATCAGGTGTCTCACTGAAGGTGCTGGTGTGGCCATGCCTGCCAAGTACAAAAGTACTTGCCTCTGGTGAAAGACACAGATGGTTGGTATTCTCTAAAAACTGAAGCTGGACACAGTTCCAAGGGTAAAGATGTCCTGAAAATAATTGCCTTTTCTTATTTGTCATTAAGAAGACCTAGTTAAAGACACTCTCAAAAGCAAAATACAAAGTTTGAAATGACCTTGTTCCAGTTGTTCTACTTCTGGGAATGTATTGGGCCCAAATAATCAGAAACACAGGAAGAAAACAATAGTGAAGATGTTCTTCACAAAAATGCCTTACAAGAAAAATACAAATTGCTGTGTGGTTCAGTAATTAATGGCAAATTCACATTCTAAGGAATTATTTAGCCATAAAAATTACAACAATAAGGAATTCTTAATATTTTATTAGGAAGTTATTTAAGGAAATTCTAGTACTTATAGAATATCAATCAACTATGTGGAAATGCTTTTTTGAAAAAAAACACTAGAACAAAAACCTGTTTATATACCTATTAGTTATGGGGCTTGTAGTTTTTTTTAAAGTATATTTGAAAAGGTGTGAGATTATAGCTGTACACTTGAGTTCCAGCCCTCATTGTGAATGCTGTTGACTCCACAGTGCATCATGCATCTTGAGGACAGACTGCAGGAGATGTATCTTAAAAGCAAAATGCTGTCTGAGTATCTTCGGGGACATACACGAGTCCACGTGAAGGAATTAGGTGTTGTGCTGGGGTGAGTCCTGTGAAGTACTACTGTGTCTTCTCCCTGTGATGGCCGGCCTTCGCCCTCATGTTATATCCTCTGACCTGTTCAACCTGCACCACCCAAAGCCAGGCCCAGGTTCCCTCAGACGTGTGCCTCTCAGCTCCTTGATGAACAGTATGTTGTTTGTGTCTTGATACCTGGTTTCACACTGGGAAACCATCATGGAACTTTGGGCTGGTGGTACTTTTATGCCAGTCTCCTCCCTGGTTATTTTACCCTTGAAAGAGAACATTTAATACCATTCTGTCCATTTCTAGTAAGTCAGTCAGTAAGATGCCAAAGTCAAAACTGTCAGATGTGCAGTGGCAGCTCTGGTATATGTCTCACTTCCTGAAGGAGGAGTTGCAGGCATCTCCCACTGGACAACAAGGAGAAAGAGCCCTTCTCCTGGGCTTTTAGGTGCTGCCTACATGTCCCCAGCAACTGTCCCTTTCTGCCTTTCATTGTGAGCCCACTGAAAAGGAGACTTGTTTATGTTAGTTACTAATAACACGTCATCTTCCGAGAGCATTTACCATAATTTCTCTAGGAGAAATTCTGACTTGAGTTATTCTGCTTAATGTGTCAACAGAGAACTCACAGACAGGACATTGTGTCTTTGGGAAATTGTCTTCTTTATCCGTGGTGATGATTCCCTATATTGGAGTAAGAAAATACTGTGTTTATAATACCACCCTTTAAATTCTCTTTTAAGCCTGTAAGCAAAGTATTATTTTAAAACTCTGGCCTTTGCATTCTTGTCAGACTTTTCATCTTTCACACCCAGGATGTGACTGGCTGTTTTATTTGGCATTTTCTGTCACACATTTTTCTTACATACCTCATTTAAAAATATTTTCCCCTTTTGAGATGGCCACTCTTGCAGCTACTTCACAGTCTCTCTCTTTGTTGTTTTCTTTCCCTTAGTTTTGGTTAATGTCTCCTTACCAGACTCATATTGTAGTCTGTTTCATAAGGTTTCCTATTGCTAGGCGTAGTCCTTAATTTCTAGGACTTTCCCCTGGTTCCTGACTCTGACAGTCATCCATCAACACTGAAGAACTGCGAATGTTTTCCCCTCAGCATTCCTCTCTAGGTCTTGTCATGTTCATACTGTCTCTTTATATCCCCTTCTTCCATGGCCAGGACCAGCAGCACCTCCAGTACTAGAAAACGCATGGTCCACCTGAATGAGATTCGTAGGTAGCTTTACTGGAGAAGGAATAGAAAACTCCACGAAGTAATGTCAACTCCTGTTTTTGTATTTGTAATTTGTGGAATTCGAGGGAAAGAACTAGGATGGGTTCCACAAGCTGAAACAGGCCAGCTTTTTTTTTTCTCCTCCACAACTGGTAGCATTTAGCCAGTGACCGTTCTGTGTCCGTCTCTCCTTTGAGAGGCAACCAGAACTGTGTCTGTCTGAAACTCATGCTTCTTACTAGTGTCACTTTGCTCTCAGAGCACTGTGGCTCAGGAGTTCAGAGGGGATCTAAGTTGTATGACTTTTGAACAGAGATCGCCAGGGTTTTTGAAGACATTAACTGCCATCATCATTTTCCTAAGACTAACTTGAACCTAGGTGCCAAATCAGTAGGCCTTGGGAAATGAGGAGACTCTGGGGGAATGGAGTCACATAGGCCACACAGAACAGGGAGAGACTTGAAGTAAATGGAGTTGGTGACCCTGCTGCAGGATTGGCCTTACGTCCCACCTGCAGGCAGCACAGCTCCAGCACCTCCTTCACGTTGTCCCACCTCGTTGTGTGCCCTGGGAGAGCTTATGACCTTTTCATCTGTTTTACTTTTTCATTTGTTTTCAGTGATAATCTAGCAAGCTTCAACCCTAGAAATAATACTTTAAGTACCATTCCTTTTGTTTTTAACACCCAGGATTGAATCTAACGACCTGCCGCTGCTGACTGCTGTTGCCAGTACTCATTCTCCTTACGTGGCTCAAATACTCCTATAAGCTGAAGCTCAGGACAGTTCTTCCTTGGAATAAGAAAAACAAATTCTCAACTGAAGAAGAGAGGAATAAGCTCTCTGGGACATCCAAAGCATGAGAAGAGCAAACAAATAGTCATTCCACCGTTTGTTTTGCATTGTTACTTTTGAGTGGATGCTTCATTGGAAGAGAAGACAGGTTTACTCTAAATATTGGCATTTGTGATTTTCAGGAACACTTTAGGCCTTTGTTACCCATGAATCAATCAGGGGAGAGAGTGGCCTTTCTGGTGGGGGAAAACGTAAGCACTACACTGAACACTCAGCATTTGGTACTGATTGCCTTGTGCTGTCAGGCAGAATAATGATGGGTGACTTTGGAGCAGGGAGGTAAACAGTGTATGTAACATTCCAGTAGGAAATGTTTCAGAGCTTAAGTCTGAGCACTGCAAGCTGTAGAGAGCAGAGTACACTAGGCTAAAGTCAGAACAAGGACTTTGGATTCCAGGTCAGAGTTTGCTTTTTAGAAAAGAAAAGTGAAATGAAGAAAGCCATTTTTGGCTGTAGCAGCTGTTTGCCATAAGATGTGAAAGAAAACTGCCTATTGGGAAGAGAGAGAGTGCTTTGGGGACCCTCTGTTCTCATTTCTCCTCAGAGTTTACCTTGTTTCAGATGCAGCCACAGGTAGGTTAGAGATGGATTGCTGGTGCAATACACCCAAGAGTCAATGTAGCATCCTAATCCCATCAAGATGTAGTTTGTAGCAGCAAAGCATAGTCTGACGCCATATGTTTTATCATTATGATTTAGAGTTCTCAGCAGCCTTTTCAAGAGAGGCCATTTACCAAAGTTATTTCTATAAGCTCAAGAGTGTTTCTGTGGGTGAATTCTTCCAGCCAGAGCCACTTTCTTCCTAGAATAGTTTATACAAATGACTATTTATACTTTTAAAGACACTGCTGTCCCCATGAGAAATGAAACCTGCAATAATTCAGGATGGTCAGTGAAAGCAATTAGTTTGAACATTAAGAAAAAGGTTCATACATGGCCTAAATTTTTACATTATCATCTCTGTACCTCTTAATCTCTATGTCTTTTCAAAACATCTTCCCAGAAATTGACTTGACCATTTTATAAAACCTACCAAAGTAAAGAATTAGTAGTCCAATTCACTTTAAAAAAAACTTCAATTGTCTGTTAATATTAAAGAAACTTAGTTTACTGACCATGAAACAGTCTAAGTCCTGACATCCAGGATAAAGTAAAACACTTCAAAAATTTAAAAAATGATGGTCAAAAGACAGGAGCTAATGTAATAAGGCAAAACATTGTTAGCATTTCAGCCCTTTCTGTGAATCTTCTGTTCCTAAGAATATGAGGTGACCTCTTTTTTATGGGTTGGAATTAGTTCACATTTTATGTTTGATAAAATCCTGACCCTGTCCATAAGTTCGTCTCTCATTATGGTCTGTAATTATTTGAGAGCGTCTACAGCTGTTCCAATGGAGGTGAATGGCTGTACTGTTTATTTATTAGGAATAGGTCAGAACTGCTACCTTCCTCTTTCTCCTGTGTGCTGTGAAAGTAGATGGGTGCTTCAAGGTTCTGGAGATCTTTAATTTGCATTTTATGTCTTGGTTTCGCAAAATTGAAGTTTTCCATTTCCTTTTGCCTAACATTGGAGTTTGGTGTTTTCAATTCTCTGGTTCCGTGACATCATTGTTTGCTGTTTGTTACGGAAGGAAAATGAACCCCACCTGTAGCTCTGCCCACTCAGCACTTGCTTTTCCTTGCATGTGAATAAATTGTCAAAGCTGTCATTACAGCTCTTCCGTCTGCACCAGCTTAAAGCATTCCCCTCTGGTTCCCTTCTCCTTGTTTACATGTTGTGGGCACCTTGCCTCAGTCACCACCTTCCAGGGTTTCATAGAAAATAACCTGATTCAAAATCAGTTCAATTCTAATGTGGGCATTGTGGCGTGCTGAAAATCAGACCCTTACGGGGAAAATTGAGCTTTAAGTGACTGATTCTTAATCCCATACATAAAAAATCTAACCCAGCTCCCCAATGCCTGCGAAAATTTAATTTGTCTCTTGATCTAATATTCCAAAACTCACTCTTAGAAAAACACCTATTGGGAAGCTACAAGTGGGTCACAGGTCGGGGTCGTCTCAGTGACACTCAGGATTCCTGTCAGAGCCGAATCCTCATATCTATCGCCTACAAAAACACACCAAGAATGTTGCTGCTCTTTTTTTAAAGCCTCCTTTAATATTTAACATGCAAGTCTTTGTCTTAAATTCAACCTCTTCCTAGAAGCAAAAAAGGAAAAAAAATCTCATGGGATTGTGTTGAGAGACAACCGCTCGCACATCACAGACCACCCCGTGACTTCATTCTTGTCTCAGCTGAACAGTTGGAGGGATCCCACCTGCTCCCATGCCCACCTCAAGAAGAAAATAAAAATTTAAAAAAAATAAAGAAATCTACCTCAGTTGACAGGATTCCAACTTTAGGGTTTCTTCAACTTTTAAGTCTTACCTGTTGAGTGTAACTTTTGTGGCATCTTGCTTTCTCAAGCAAGCTAGTGAGGCATGACAGAGCAGAAGTATGTGAATGTTACTGTGATGGACCTCTTTCTAGCATGTTGCAGTTTTATTTTTAATAAATTGATAAGTGATATGAATGTAAAGGTAATTGTGTATGTTTTAAACATGACAATGAAAATTTGAAATGTAGCTTCCATACTTGTGCATAATTCCAAAGTATTTTATTTTTATCAGTGTTAAATAGCTTTTTGTACAGGCTTCAAATCCATTTTCTGAAGTGTGCTGTTTTTTAATGAAAGTAACTATAATCTTTTCACATCCCATGGAACTGCTGTTTACACATTGCAACTTTTTAAACTGACCATATTTTTCAAAATTAACTTTTTTGGAGGGAGGAAATTTCCCCCTTGCTAAATGATACTAAACTGTTGTTTGGGCTCTTATAATTAGGTCCTCAGATTTTATAAAAATTTAGTCTGTAGCTTTTTAGGTTCTTCACTAGAGTTGGTTGTATATAAAGAATATAAAGTGACCCCAAAATTCTTTTAAATGTCTGGATTTTTCCACTAATATGTACTTTGGGGAGCATTTCATTCTTGCATACTTTCACCATTAAATTGAAAAAAAAAAAAGTCTTTAGCTTTTCTTAATTAATGTGAACGATTTGTTTTGTTTAATTCTTCTTGGGGGGGGGGGGATATTTTAATATAATTTCTGCCTAAGTCAAACATCCCTCTGAATGTTAACTTTTAAATGTCAGAATTTGGTGAACCATATATCTAGGAAGTGAGATTGCAATATGCTTAAATTTGAGGCAGATAAGGAGAAAATTCTGGGAATTGTTATTGAAAGTCCATTAAGAGAAATTGATAGGACTTTATAATTTTGATGAGCTGAATAGATACCAATGTCAACGTGTGGAAATTTTTTCTTAAAACTTGTTCATGTATTATTTTGATCAATTTTTCTGTGGCATTTGGTGCAATAAACCTTTTGAATTTATCTTGAACATTTCCTGGCGCTGCATGTGATTTGTTGAATTTAATTAAATCTAGAGTCTCAAGAAACAAGTTCATTATATGTATCAATGATTTTCCACAGGTGTGTTTTGGAAATAGGACATTTTTGATTAGCAGACTGACAGGTGAGGGCTACTGCACAGCATGTAGGAGTGGGGGGCAAGGTGACTCATGAAATGTCCTGCAACATGTGAGATAGCCCCAGGACCAGCAGACCTTCAAATGCCCTGCTGGACATTCATGTGGGTGAAAACCCTCTTAAAAATTATCTTACCTGAAAATTGAGTTCTGCTTTACATAAAAGCACAATGTGTTTTGTACATGATTTGGGTATATACTGAATTTTCCAGGGATGCAACTGTTGTATACATGAAGGGAAGGTTTTACTCTGTAAAGATTTTAACAAGAATTGTTCACTACGTCTTTACAAAGAATTGAGTACTTGTGGAAAACCACGTTACCAACAGCCACAGCACTCATAGAACTCAAGTCAGCAGTGCAGTACATCTCCACAGTTCTCATTTATAGCTGTGACATCCATAAAGATTCTTTGTACAGATGTAAGCATCTGTCCACCTCATTGTATTTTCTCTGTGTGTATGTGTGTGCACACAAACGTGCAAGTGCTCTACTATTGAGCTACATGCCCAGCCTGCTTCATCATATTTTCTACTCTGATGGTGTTGCTTGCATCCACGACTGTGGAATAAAAGCTAAAAAAAGAGAAAATGCGAAGAAACCACAGGACACAGGAAGTAATTTTAGAAAGCAGGGGTAGGATGGTTCTCTGATCTTAGGAATCGAACTTCCACACTGGAAAGAGAGGGAGAGTCCTCACTTGCTTTACTTATAAGAGGGCAACATCAAAGCTTTTCCATGGAATGTTCTTTACCAAATAAGGTAGGGGGTGGGCTGTCTATTTCCTGATGGGTTGAGCTAGGAGACCTGTCCCACTAGTAGAGCAAGGGCAGCGATATCATGCCTTGGGCAGTCTACACACGGTAATGCTGGGATAGTTCCCAAGAGAAGACCCAAGTACCGCATGCTCGGTACCAAGTAAAAGACCACTCAAGCAGCTTTACAGGGAAAGCTTTATATATGTTTTATATATAAAACATCCCCATTTTCATCCAGTTCTAAAATGGATGAAAACATGGGATACTCTGTAGAGGTTTATGCTTTTAAATTCCCCCCCCCCCCCCCCGGCCCTCCAAAGACCACAGCGGTGCACCAGAATATACTATAAAATGTTACTTCTTAAACAGTACATCCAGGGGATTACAATCTAGGGGATTGCATTTGTGTGTTATAAATTGTTAACTTATATTTTCTGAATTTTATTTTGGGATAATAAAGGAGTATTAAAAAATATTTACTAAGAAAAGGGATGAGTTACTTTGCTAATATATTATCTCAAGAAGAAATATGCCATTGAATGTAACTTCTGTACCAAAGAATGGCAT